TGAGGGAGGAAAATGGTATTTGTTACCCCAGAACGACACAGAGTACTTACCGTTCCGGGATCCTTAAAACTACCGTCAGAAGATTCTTCTTTCTGCGGGCGAAGATTTCACAATTTTTCGAAATGCGGTCACACGTACACGCACAATTATGAATTTTTATTGTCCTTAATTATTAATTTCTTAAATTAATTTCTTAAACCATTCAAACAGGGCGGACGCGGCAACAACACGAAACCGGCCGGTCTTTTCGACAAGAAAGATTTTATAAAATTTTATTTCTTCACTATTTTAATTTTTAAGACAACCACGCGGATTACGAGGTATTTTAAAATTTTATTTTACGTCCGGCCAAATTGCTTGTATAAGCATACAATCAATTTGGATCCTGTATACCGGACGGGAACGTTATAGGAAATATTATTTTTACTCCGACAGAGTTCGAGTCTCTGTGCTGTGGGAAACCGTACTGAACAATTTGGATGGTCATTGATGTGTCTTTTATAGTTTAATGTATTTCTAATTAGGTGGGAAAATATTGCAATAAAAGATGGTGGGGACAGGGCGTTGGACCTGTTGCCATGCCAAAATTGCTGAACTTGCATTTTATGGAATCGGTTCATTGCACTATGTTGAAATAAATTCCTTTTTTTCTTGTATTCTTAGAAAAGAATATCTTTTAATATTCTTTTAATTATTGAAACAATTTTTAATTTGTTTATTTATTTTTCAAATTAATCTCTTAAAATAGGATTAATGTAAGTTGGAAATAATGGACATTTCAAAAATAGAAATTCCATTCTATTTTGTAACCCATTAAAGGTTGTTACAAATCCAACATTAAATCAGTTGTCCCAATAATTATTTTAACCCTTAAACCGCACCCTGGGTGTGCGACACCCATATTCTAGCTTTTTACTCTAATATTTTGGTTAAGCTCTTAAAAATTGAACATGTGTTGATATTGGATTGTACATTTTGTACTTGAATTTATGTTTCGTGAGTGACATTAGTCTGCCAAGTGTCTTTGTGTATTTGATAACTTTATGAAGTTGTCGGCGAAAAATTTCTGCTTGTTTGACACCCAGTTTTTGGTTTTAGGTAATTTCAGTAGTTTTAAAAAACTCGTTTTTAATTATTAAAATTAAATAAATCATTATGAAACCTATTTTCCTTCAAAATAGATGTACTGAGCTATATAAGATAACTTTTCCAAAAGATAATACCCTATTCCAGCTTTGAGAACACACTTAAAAGTCCCCGGGTGTCGCACACCCAGTGTGCGGTTTAAGGATGGATTCGGCAGTGTGCGGTTTAAGGGTTAATATTGCGTAGAAACCTTCCGCAAGTATGCAGTTTATGGCAGGCAAGGTTCGTAGGCTAGCACAGGTGTCTGGAAGGAAAAGTTTGCCTACGATGCCAAAAAAATTCATTGTTACCCTCTGGTTCCTTAGCACCCCCTGAAAAGAGAAAATTTAACCCGAAAATCGTAGCTGTTCATTTATGGAAAAATCACCCCTTTATAGGGGTGATTTGGAATTTTTTTCAGAAAAAATTGTTTTTAAGGAGCAAAAATAATTTTAAAATTATTTTGATAATTGTTATTTATGTGTGTGTTCACAGGGTTTAATTTTCTAGATACAATCGATTAAAAAGTTTTTTAAAAACAAAAAATTCAAATTTTTAACTTTTCTTTTAGTTAGTTAACGATTTTTGATAACATCTCCAATTTCACGTCAGATTTCAGTTCACATTCTAAAATTTATCCAAAACAATTTTTTTTAATTCTTTAGTGAAAAAAAATGGATACATATTTTTTTTTGGTGGCAAAATTTCCGAGTTACGAATTTTTAAAAAATTAGATTTTTGAAAAGTAGACTTTTTTCAATGGCCTACAACTTGAAAATTATTGGATTTACAAAAATTTCGTTAAGACAAAAAAGTTCAGCTATTCTTCAACTTTTAAATGCTGTTACAAAAAACTTTTTTTTTAAATTTTTCTTAAAAAAATAAAAAAAACTTTAAAACAAATTATTTTTTTTTAAATTTGGACGTTTTAAAAAAAAATTTTTTAACATAGGTGGCAATGATAAGAATGGTTTGCAAAATGTTTCAGAGTGTTCTTCTTGAATTTTATGTGTTAAAATAAATTTTTAATTTTGTCGTGCAACTTTTACGCGCGCTGCACTGTGCACGTTTTTTGAGAAAATTAAAATTTTTCAAAATCCATACGATTGATTATTCATTATTTTAAGAAAAGCATACAAAGAATTTGGCAACGAAAAATAATAAAAAATGTGGAATTAGTTGAATTTTTTAAAAACTACTAGTAAAATTTGAGCCATTCAAAAATGACCATTTTTAAGGGTATCAAATTTTTTTTTACATTTTTAGTACCTGAAATCATATTACACTATAGAAGATTAATAAAAGTAATTTTTAATGAAAGTTATTAAAAATTACGAGTTTTTTAAATTTTTTAAAGAAAAATTAAAAAAAAAGTTTTTTGTAACAGCATTTAAAAGTTGAAGAATAACTGAACTTTTTTGTCTTAACGAAATTTTTGTAAATCCAATAATTTTCAAGTTGTAGGCCATTGAAAAAAGTCTACTTTTCAAAAATAAAATTTCAAAAATTCGTAACTCGGAAATTTTGCCACAAAAAAAAATATGTATCCATTTTTTTTCACTAAAGAATTAAAAAAAATTGTTTTGGACAAATTTTAGAATGTGAACTGAAATCTGACGTGAAATTGTAGATGTTATCAAAAATCGTTAACTAACTATGTAAAAGAAAAGTTAAAAATTTGAATTTTTGTTTTTAAAAAACTTTTTAATCAATTGTATTTAGAAAATTAAACCCTGTGAACACACACATAAATAACAATTATGAAAATAATTTTAAAATTATTTTTGCTCTTTAAAAACAATTTTTTCTGAAAAAAATTCCAAATCACCCCTATAAAGGGGTGATTTTTCCATAAATGAACAGCTACGATTTTCGGGTTAAGGTTTCTCTTTTCAGGGGGTGCTAAGGAACCAGAGGGTAACAATGAATTTTTTTGGCATCGTAGGCAAACTTTTTTTTCCTTCCAGACACCTGTGCTAGGTTGGTAAAGGGAAGCAAGAAAGGATAAATTATAATTCATAAATAATTAAATAAACCTAAACGTTCCCGTTGATGTATATATTGTATGATAAATATAGTTTTAATTTAACCGGGCCAGCATCTACCCTGTATTCAATAATTCGAAAAATTAAAAGATGTATTAAAATAATAAAATTCACTATTAGTGGGAGAGAAAAAGAGCTACAGCACAGAAAGAGTACGCAATACTCTGTAAGAACAATATGTACGAGATGCTATACATAATATTCCTTCTCTCTCGCACAATGTCAAGGGGAGCGCGGGGAGCCTTCACTCAACGCATTGAGTGAAGCCTCTTGTCCATTCTTCGTATATATATATATATATATATATATACTAGGGGGGCTTCGCCCCCCTGCGCGCTTCGCGCGCCAACCCCCTATCTCTATTTTTATATTAATTTAAATTTTTATAAATTTAAAGTAATTTTTTCTTAATATCAATGCATCTTAATAAATTGCATACAATACATGACAAAATACACATAGATTTTGACGTAATGTAATAATCGTTATGGACCTTTTTTATATATATGTCAAAAATTATATTAAACTTTGACATATATTTTGACCCATTTTAACCTATAGGTTAAAAAGGCGTCAAATTTTAAATAGATTTTGACGTATCATAGATACGTTTATTGTCCTTTATTGTCCCTTTTTAAGTTGTAGTTAAATAAAAGTCAAATTACACATAGATTATGACGTAACTAAATGAGGAAGTAAAAATAAAACGTCAAAATTAGGTCAAAATGACAGGTGTAAGAGCAAACACAATTTTAAAGTTACCTTACATTGTTAGGTAAGATGCCAAACTTCACCTCATCATTAAGTCTGCGCGCGGAAATTGTTTGACAAATTTTGACGTCTATGTCAAAGCTGCCCTCAAACTTGACCTAAATTTTGAGGGTAGCGGGAATTCTTTGTCAAATTTTGACGTCTATGTCAAAACTGCCCTCAAAATTGACCTAAATTTTCAGGGTAGCGGAAATTGTTTGTCAAACTTTAACGTCTAGGTCAAAACTGCCCTCAAAATTGACCTTAATTTTAAGGGTAGCGGGAATTCTTTGTCAAATTTTGACGTCTGGGTCAAAACTGCCCTCAAAATTGACCTAAATTTTGAGGGTAGTGGAAATTGTTTGTCAATTTTTGATGGGTAGGTCAAAATTGCCCTTAAAATTGACCTAAATTTTGAGGGTAGCGGAAATTGTTTGTCAAATTTTGACGTCTAGGTCAAAACTGCCCTCAAAATTGACCTAAATTATGAGGGTAGCGGAAATTCTTTGTCAAATTTTGACGCCTAGGTCAAAACTGCCCTCAAAATTGACCTATATTAACGTAATGTGAGGCCTTTATTTATCCTCTTTTTGACCTACAGGTAAAAAAATATGTCAAATTAGACATAGATTTTGACGTAATGTGAGGCCGTTATTTATCCTCTTTTTGAACTATAGGTCAAAAAATAGGTCAATTTTGACATAAGTCAAAGGAAAAGTTCTCCACCCTGCAACGCCTTAACGCGTCTAGTGTTTACTTTTTCGCCAGTCTACATTCCTCATCCATCCAAGGTTTTTGTCTACAAATATTGTTACTAAAATTCTTCTTAACCATTTTCAAATCACCGGCTACGTCTTTAATAGTCGATAAAAGATTCGCATTAAGAGCATCTATGTCATCCTTCAAAAAAGCCCCCTCTCTTCTCCAAGCCATATTATTAAAATATAATTCATTGATCTCTTTATTAAAGTAAAATTTATCAGAAAATTCAACAACATCCATGCAGAAAAAAGAAATAGATAGTGAAATCGGAAAATGGTCTAAGAGAGTGGCCAATTGTAGAACGCATAAGTCCTCAATTTAGGCTAAGGCCCCAGATGAGGACCACACCAAATCGATTACACTTGCCCCTTGTGGGCCCAAAGAAGTAAAATAATTAGCAGGGGTGTCACTTATTGTGCGACCATTTAAAAGAATCAAATCGCTAGCCTCTAAATTATAAACCAATTTTTTTCCTTTACCATTATACGTTATATCACTTGAAAGTCTTTCTGCAAAAATTAAAGAATTAGATTGTAACACAATAGAGTCCAATTGATTTAAATCCGCAACTCTGTAATTAAAATCACCCCCCCCCCCTCCAAAAAAGGAACATTAGGGAAATTACAAGACAAGGAATTTATATAATAATTAAAATTTTCTAAAAACGAATTATAATCTTCATCCGGGGCAACGTATAACAAACCTAAAAAAAATTAAATCCATTTGATAAAACATTAAATCTTACAAAAATTTGATTGCAGTCACTAAAAAGTTTGGAAATAGAGTATAAATTAGGATTAAACGCAATTGCAAGACCTCCCTTTGCTCTACCTTGAACGTGTGATCTTCTGGCAGGAACTCTATACACTCGAAAAATTCGTTGAAAACAAGTCTCTCTGACTCTACCCAAGTCTCACATAAACACAAGATATCTTGCCGGCAAATATGCTCACTGATATCAGACAAATTTCTTGTGCCATGCACATTCCAAAACAAAATTTTAACACGAGACACTTTATCACGCTACTTCAGATTGTCGTCCATTGAATTCCTGGGTGACTCACTCCCCCTATCTAGAGCTAGTCTCTTGGAATGCCCCGCATCCCGATCCTGGACATCCTTCACGTTAATTAAAAAATTGTCCATGGAAAGAGTTGAGAAATTTCTTTTTAACTTAGAATTAGAATTATACAAATTCTTCCTATTATCAATTCTATTATTTTCTGCAGGCGAATGAAGCCTTCGACAACTTCAAGTTGTTAACATCCTTTGCCACACTCTGAGGTAAAGAAGGAAATTCGTCTGAATTATTGTTTGGTACAATATCCTTCACAATAGCTGAATTAGATTGATCATTTGACGTGAACACTTTATTGTTAACAATTTTTGCAACAATACCAACACTTCTAAGTTCACGCACTTGCGAAACTAATAATCGGTGTTGAACCCTTTCCTCAGGAGAGTAGTCATTGTACGGAACAAAAGGTCTTGAAGAGATATCCATGAAAATATTGTTGAGCAGAATATTGTTGTGTTATCTAATTCAATGGAAGAGATAACTTTCAGGATGGAAGCACTTTTAATAATCAATGGATGAGGGAGCCATATTATATTGTGGAATCAAATATGGATGTGACATCCATAGGCATGGTTAGGCTTACAATTCATGCTATGGATTTTCACATATGGCTGCCTCATCCATATAAACTTTGGTTGGGAGATCCATAGTTAGTTCAAAATTTCGATACATGTTGCGCGCAATTCATTATCAAGGCATCCATTTAAAAATGGTCGTCTCAATTTGTCCGTCGCGTCGGTCTCTTGTCGCGTCTAAATAATCGCATTGTGAGTTTATTGTGTATAAATAGTGTTATAATTGTTTATTATTTATTATTGTTATTGTCTATGTATATTAGTATTTATGTAAATTCATTGTCATGAAATATGTGTAGAGTATGTAAGGAATATTATATGCTCAAATATTGTAGTTGCGTGGATAGTGTAGTGGATAGTGTTAGTGTTTAGTATGCGTTAGGTCTAGAGTTCGTCTCTCTCTCTCCCATCGGTTAATAATTTATTTCGTAAATATGCGGTTATTCAATAAGTGGTGTGTATTAATTAACAAAAATGTGTATAAAATATCTCAAGTGACATGGAATTTAATTAATTGAGTGATTCAAATTTTTTTGTTTCCCGTTTCTATTACTATGGATCACCTAACCATAGATCTTTTGCTGCTCCAGCAATATAATATACAGGCAGCCATAGAATATGGATGCAGTAACCTTAACTATGGATATCCCGTATTTTTCAATATAATATGGCTGTGATATCCATGTATCTGAATGTGTGAAAGAAAGGAATTTTCTTTCCGTGTTGAAATGAACAGGTTCCATCTTTTAAATTCTAGAGCCTTAGAAAAAATCAATTTGACCCAACGGACTGCAAGAAACTTTACAATAACCGGACGATTACCCTTGATCCTTCCAAGTCTAAAGACATCGACAATAGCTATTTCTGGAATTAGCAAACCAACACTAGAAAACTGTTGAAGAATCTCTCCAAATCAATTTCTATTAAACTTCTCTGAATCTTCAAGCTTGAAAATAATGAGATTTTTGGCTCTTTGAGAGTGAATCATTACATCAAACCTGAACTCCAAGGTAATCATTCTCGAATCATGTGAAACTAATCTGTCATTAAATGTACACAAAATAGATTTCACTTCTTGAACATCCTTACTTATTTACTTATGGCCCATTAGCCATACAAGTCAATGTTATTAGAGTAAGTAGTACAGCAACTCCCACAAGGAGATTACAAATTATCAAAAAAAGTCAAATTTATGTGTGAAAACATTAACGCCACTTAGCACAAAATGTTCAATTAAATATGAGCTTTCATAAAACACAAATACATATGGCGGTTTTTACGTCAAATGTCCATCCAAAAAAAAAGTGTTAATGAATCAATTCCCAAACTTTTTTATGAGTTATCCTATAAGTAATTTATCAGCCAAATATTTTTGAATTATATAAAAAATTATGAGAAGTGGAGGGGGTAGAAGTTTTGAGTTTTGATGTGACACGCACTACTTCGTTTATTTATTGTATTTAAACGAGACGATAAAAAATAATTTTCGAATATGGTATCTTTAGGTTTTTTCATAAGCTTTCGATTGCCGTAGTCCATTTTAGAAAATTTATTGATTTTGACCAAAATTTTTGAAAATTAAGGATAAAATTTAATTTTTCTCATCTTCGGGCTCGTTTTTCTTTTTTTATTTTATTTTTATTGGAAAGCTGAGGTTTTTTCCCCAAAAACTGTTAACTTTTAGGAAACCGATTTTTTTTGTTTTCGAGAAATTAAATATAGAATACAGCGCTAGAATACCATACTAGGGATGGGTGTGTAAAGATTATAAAAGTTATAAAAGGTTGTTTGAACTTCTCTCTGCATTTTACAGGGTTGAGACTGCCATTAAAATAGTATAATGCCTGCATTATTATTCTTTTTTTTATTTTTTTATTTTGCATTTTTTTGCATCCCTGTTTTGCAATATTTATTATTGCAGTTTTTTAATTTTTGTTTTTTATTTGGCGTAGGAAAATCATAATCTGAATTACTGCCTGTTTCTGATTTTCCACAAAAAGGGTAAGATTTCCTGAATTGGGCCCCTATTTTTCATTGGGTTAATGAATTTTTCTAATTCTGATATGTTTCGATAGCGTATCATGGTATATTAAAAACCTGTAAATAGTTTTCCGAAAATCGACTATTTGTCAAAGTTATTCAAGGTCAGAATTATTTGTAGCGTTTTAGTAAATAGCTAAACACTCGCGATCGGATGAACCGATTTTAATAAAAATTAAAGGAGAGATTACCTGAGAAATTGTACTTTAGATAAATGATGAAGATTTTAATTAAAAAATATAATTTGTTTAAATAAATTAACTTTTTAATTTTAGGAGTTAACCCGCCGTCACACACCTAGGGAGGGATTCCCTCTACGGTTTCAGTATTTTTTAAATAACTTTTGTTTTCCTCATTGCAAAATAAAATCAGTTTCTATGCCTTTCGACAATTTACTCCTCAACACATTTCTAAAAAAACATTTAACACTTGGGCATGTCCAAGTTGTGAAATGTAAACACAGGGCCGGATTTACAGTTGTGGAGGCCCCAGGGCCAAATTTATGTGGAGGCCCTTTCTAAAATTTTGTTTAATGTAAGGAAATATTAAATTATAATTATTTGAAAGGAAATGTCATTAAATGACATAAGTGCATTTATTTTTTTTAGAAAAAATACGTACATATGAAATTATAAAATAATTGATGATTATTTATTTTTTTACTTCTTATATCAATCAAAGATGAACTTTACGTGATTTTTCTTTGGCAAAATCATCTATAATTTGATTAAAACTCAAGTTGCGAAGGATGTCATTTTCCAAACTTAGAAGCGTTAGATTTTCTAAACGATTTTGTCCCATGCTAGTTCGCAATCTGTTTTTTATTATTTTCATCTTAGAAAATGACCTTTCTCCACTGCAATTGTTCACCATTAAGGTCAGGTATATGCGAAGAGCTATTTCTGCATTGCAAAATGATGACTTAAAAGTATTTTCTAAAATTAATCTATAAAGGAATACTTCTGTAGATTCTCCCTCCCTTTTTTCATATTGCTTAGAAAAAGCCACAAGGTGAACAAGTTCATTTGTCAGATTCCGTTCGAGATCTTCAGGATAGGCGTCTACAAGATTATTTGCTTTTAATTCTAATTGGCAAGGTTCTATATCATTCAATTCGACCAAGAACCCGAATCTTTCACAAATAGCCTCATAAGCCATTATTCGTTCAGCCAATGCCAAATTTAATTGGTCAATAACCGGAAGAAAACATTCGGTTCGAAATTTATCTCTCGCCGATAATTGAACTGCAGGTGCTTGTCCATAATCAAGAGGTCGGAGCTTCACACTTGGTCTTCTCACACGTACAGATTCATACTCTTCAGTATTAGACAATTCTTTACCCGCTATTTCGTACCTTTCGAATGCATCTCTTTTAGATTCTACAAATGTTTTTAAAGACTTGAGTCCGTTTACAGCTGTAGACAGAATCATTGTGGAACTTTGCAGAATTTTATTTGTTGAATTGAACCTTTCAAGTATATCATGCCAAAATTTAATATAAATTGTAGTTTCAAGTTTAGACATTTTTTGCAAAAGACCGAGAGCTTCGTTTCTTACGATACTTTTTTGTTCAACGTCATCATAAATTTGAGCTAATGAATCTTGAATAGGTTTATAGCCATAAGCCAGAGCTTTAGTGGCATCGGCCCGACATGACCATCTAGTATCGCTTAATTTCTTTAAAGTATAGAAGTTACCCTTTGTTTTCGAAGAGGATAATTTCTCAATTAAGATTTTATGTCGTGCAGTCGAATTGGTGAAAAATACAAAAAGTTCTTGGACAAAGCTAAAAAAAGAACTGCAGCAAGGCACGTATTAGCAGCTGATTTTCCTACTAAATTCAATGAATGAGCAAAGCATGGAAGATGTTCAGCTAGAGGATTTTCCACCTTTATTAAAGCCTGCAAACCTTTATATTTGCCACTCATATTTGCTGCATTATCAAAAGACTGACTTCGACAGTCCATTATGTTCAAACTTTGTTTACTTAAAACTCAAGAAGAGCTTCAGCCATATCTTTGCCGGTATGGCCACAATTCGGAATAAAAGTTAAAAAACGTTCTACTGGATTCAAATTTTCCACGTATCGTATAACTACCGTTAATTGATCAATGTGTCCTTCATCAGCCGTAGAATCAACTGATATAGAATAGTATTTTGCTATTTCACGCAATACTTCTTTGCCCATAAGGAAAATGAGGTCTTCGACTACTGTTGACGATAAATAACTTGTGTGGCCACTTCCTTTATTTCCATATTCTTTCATATGAGCAGCAAGAAAAGGATCAAACTGAGAAATTAATTCCATAATTCCCAAAAAATTTCCATTATTTGGCGAACCAATAATTTCATCAAGACCTCGGAAAGCTAGTCCACGCTCAGCAATAAATGTAACGGTGCTTACAACTCTTTTAAGGACTTCTCGCCAATATCCAGCTACTTCAGAGGCCTAATAACCCAGTTATTGTAAATTGTTATGTTATTAGTATTGCTCATAATTTATTACACATAAAAATTAGATTGTTATAGAACCAAAAATGTTTGTTATTGTTACCTACTATTTAAAGTTTCGTTACAGCAAGCTTTTAAAAATGTTATTTAATGAAAATTCGAATTTATAATGAAAGCAACTAAGCAAGCAAATTTTTATCAATAAATTAAACTTTGTGGTTCTATATTTTATCAACACATAGCACTCAATAATTTAGAAGTAAATACTTACTTGTTCTTGAAGTTTACGGTCAATACAATTTACTTCATTTAAACGCGTTGAAAAAACTATAACTGAATTCAAGTAATTCTTCTACAGTTCATGTTGACGTACACGTTCCGATGCATGTTTCCAATCACAGTAGCCTTCTTTACCTAATGCTACATACATTGAAGTTGACAATAATTTACATAAGAAACAATATATTTTTCCGGTAGATGGTGAAAAACATAACCAAAACCGATTAACTACTTCTTTGTTTTGATTAGTTCGATAAAAGAGACTTGATGTGCATTTTCTTTTACTTTCATTCACATTTTGTCTTGTCTGAGTAGCAGACAATTTAGAGATAGTTTCCTCGTCGCAGTTTTGTAATTCAGTTGAACCTTTTTTAATCCAAAAGTTAATTATATCGTCTGTGAAAGGTTCTTTCCAAAGACCTATATCAGTCGTAAAATTAAGATTATCCGATATCTTCTCCAAGTGTGCAGTGGTGGCCAATTTTATTTCAACTTCATCAAATTTTGAAATATTTGAACTGGAAGAAGAAGTAGATGGTTGTTCGTTACTTGTGACTTCAGGATTTCTGTTGTTAGTGGCGCCAATTTTTGATTCAGTTTCATCAAATTGAGAAATAGTTGAACTTGAAGTAGTAGTTGGTTTATCGATATTCGCAGGTTCAGGAATTTTGGAATCAATAAAATAATTGCTTATTTTTGGAGTTTTACAAAGTATCTGTTCAAATTTTTGTTCTTTTTCTGCAGCAATTTTCCTTTTTTGCGCACCACTTTGAAAACTTCGCCGAGATTTATGTCGATCTTCACTTCGATTGTACATTTTAATCTGCTCTATAAATACAGATAGAAATTACAATTAAGAACTAAGTGTTTATCTCAATAACCTTTATTAACAGGTAATACTTACTGTATTTTCCATACAAAATATTTGAAATTCGAACATAATTCCCATCCTTTAGGTAAGGTTATGTGCAACAAAATACATGATTACACCGTAAAAAATTCTAAAACTATTGCGGTTTGAAAGTGTCACATTTTACTGAAAAATGAAAAGTCCTACATTTAATGTGACAACCATTGTCTATAAAATATGACACTTTTAAACTGTATAATATTTTTAGGACTTTTTACAGTGTAAGTATAATACACAAAACCTAACCCCAAAACGACACTATAAATTTCCCACTGCTGTCTGTCCACGTTAAAACAATAGGATATTCAATAAACTACATCTCTTCTCGTATATATATACTTTACATTTACAAATTTAATTTAATTCGCTCACGATTTTCTTATTGAAGCAAAAGCAAAATGGAGGTCTAACTACAAAGCATCTGGAGATAATAAACAGTGTTGATTGATATATACATATATATAGACATATAGTTCTAGGAACTGTGATGTCAGGAGAAGGTTCAGATTTTGAACAAACAGATAGTTCTAAAAAGGATCACCACCTTGAGCACAACGATCGCAAGGTGGCGAATTAAAAGAAAGTAATTTCTTTAAACGTTACTAAGGTCGTAAATTATGAACTGGAGAATATTTTTTTAAACACGAGCAAAAATCATAAAATTTATATTTGAGTTGGTGGAGGCCTTAAATGGTGGGGCCCTGGGGCGACGGCCCCACTGTCCCCGCGGTAAATCCGGCCCTGCTGTAAACAAACCAAAAGGTAAACAAACCAAACACAAAAATCGCACTTTTGTAACAGCCATTTTTCACACAAAAATTAATATTTTTTCACATTCTTTACAAAAATGGAGAATTAGAGTGTCAAAGTGTCCAATAAAATAATTTTTGACTATAAGCAATAAAAAGCAATTAGTAAAATAACTAATTAAAATTACCTGTAAAATAGCATTTTTGACGCGTCGCAAAAAATAAACTGTTTGAGGATATCAACCGCACAGATGATGACGAAGTTCCATGTCAGCGATTGGACCTTCAACATGTGGAAGGGTAAATTTTTCCCTTTCCTCCTTGAAATTACAAGAGAATGGGTAAAAACTTCTTCATCGTCCGTGCGGTTGATATAGTCAAACACTTTAATTTTTCGCGACGTGAACTCTGTTGCTCTCTGCGCGTGCGCAGACCATACTAAGAATGCATTGACAGCACCCCAGATAACAATCGTGCGTCGCACGTTTCTCGCACCACATGCGATTCGCACTAGTGATAGCATTTTGCGTGCAATTTAGCAGTCACCTGTGATGCAGTCACTGGTGAAGCAGAGTCTACAATGAGAGAAGGTGCGCATCGATGTTCATAGCTATAGATATACGACAGCATGCTTTAGTATACCTATAGCTATGAACACCGATGCGCACCTTCTCTCACATTGGAGACTCAATTTGAGAGTAATATGAGTCGCACCCAAGCATAACCGAATGCTTGTCTCACACTGTATCGCACGATGCGTTCGCACATGAGAGTCATCAGTGCGAGTCATATGAGTAATATATATGAGGACGATGACAAAATATTTTTAAGTCTTATTTTAAAAATCGCTTTGAGTTTTTTATAAGTATTATTAGTTAAATTAGTTAAAATTTTTACTAATTCAAATTTAGAGAATAAAGAATGATTTTAATTTTGATTTTTTCTGGTTTTGTGTTGAATTTTATTTTTTGGATTAATTTTTTTTAATATTGTTTTGATTTTTGATTTTACTTTCTTGGATTTTATTTAATCTGTTTTCTTTCTGTTTTTTTATTCAATATAAAATTTGTTTGTCTACATAATGGTGAAAAGAGTGAAAATTTATTTTTAGAATTGTAAAGAAAAATTTCCTTCATTTGTTTTAATAATACACTCGACTCTCGGATCTTTTGCATTCAGTTCTTTTACACTCTCGCTTCTTTTGCAATTTTTCTCTCGCTCCTTTTACCTTTTATATTAAATAAATAAATGACTATCAAATTGTCAAAATATTTATTTTGCGATAACAAAGAAAATGTTCCACTTCGTCCAATTATATCTCTAATAAACAGTCCAACACATTTTCTTGCAAAAATATTGTATAATTCATTAAAAAATTGTATTACTCTACCTCGTTCACATATTAATAATAGTTTAGAACTTAAAAATAAACTGAGCAATCTTGTTATGGACGATAACTATACTTTTATTTCTCTCGACGTAAGTTCTATGTTTACAAACGTTTCTTGTGAACTGGTCATTCAGAGTTTAGATCGACGTATTCATTCTATAAGACAGAAATGTAAGATTCCTTTCTCAGATATTATCGACTGTACTAAATTTGTATTTAACAACACCTATTTCTCTCTTGGAGAAAAATTTTATCGACAAATTTATGGTACACCGATGGGTTCACCAATTTCAGCCTTCGTTTCAGACATTGTCATGGATGATCTGGAAACTGATTGTTTAACAAAATTAAAGGAGGAGCACAATTGTGTCCCCCTTTTTTATTTTAGATATGCTGATGACACAATATTAGCTGTAAAAAAAGAACATGTCAACTTAGTCATCAATACTTTTAATGCTTACAATCAAAAATTACAATTTACTATTGAGAAAGAAAAGGATAACTCAATTAATTTTCTTCATTTAAAACTTACTAGAAAAAACAACAAAATTGTCACAAATTGGTATTAAAAGCCGACTTCATCGGATAGACTCATTAATTATTTTTCAGATCATCCAATCCAACAAAAAAAGAATATTGTATACAATCTTGTTGATAGAGCGATTTCATTGTCCAACAAAGAGTTTCCTTTTGATAACTTAAAGAAGATAAGATCCATCTTAAAAAACAATAACTATCCTTTGGATTTTATTGATAAACATATAAAAATTCGTATAAACCATATAAAATTTTCTCAGGTTAATAATAATAATAACAATAATCGAAATAAAATTAGTATTTACAGTCAAATCCCGAAGGTTTGTTTACCGTTCAATGAAAAATGTTTCTTTAAGTTGTCAAATATTCTCAAAGAGTTTCATTTTACTGCGATTCCACTTATTAATAAAAACTCCAATTCTATAATTAGACTTGGTAAAGATTCATCTAAAAAATGGGACAGAACAAATGTTGTATACAAGTTTGACTGTAAAGATTGTCCAGCAACATATATAGGTGAAACAAAACGATCATTGTTAACTCGCATAAATGAACATAAAAAAGTAAATGATAACTCTGTAGTTTACCGCCATCGAATTAATTGTAATCATGACTTCGATTGGGAAAATGCCAAAATTTTGGACAATGAAC